TAGAGAAAATTTATGGCTTAGGTGGATGATTACGGCGGAGTTTCGTTCTCTGAGTTGGATGTTTAGGTTGTGCAGATTTCATTATCCTTCTACTGAACGACATCATCAGCACAAACTTCAGATAGAGGAGTGAATTATTCGAAATTGTTTTAATCGTTTTTAACAGTAGATAACTGTCTTACTTGGGTTTACTGTAGGATAAAACACTATTGATCAACTCACTTACTGAGTGTAGATTTTTGACTTTAAGTCGCATTTTATGAGTGATGACCAGTGACATTACTTAGCTATCTAATCGGAAGCAAATGGAGTTGGGACTGGAACTTGTGTCTCAGTGGCTGAAATGCGGACGCTTTAACCATTAAGCCAGGATACTAACAGTAATGATATTTGAATAGAGAAATAAGAGGACATATTTTGTGAGATAGTACCATTTCGTGCTTTCTCATCAGTCACATACAAGCAACATGTTATTTGTGTAAATACAGTTTTGAAGATAAGGTCAAAATTTTTATTATTTAGCATGACATTCACTCACTAGAACCATGCTAAGTAAACAAAGGTCAACATACAGTTGTTTTTGAACACATAAAGTTGGATTTTTTCCGACTAGCCTTCCTCGATATCCTGCTCCATCGCCGTCCAGACGGATCAATCAGATGAAAAGTACACCGCAAACCCAGCTGGTCGGGACAGTACCTCCACTTCACTAGTTTCTGCCCCATACAATATAAACGTTCTGTTGTCAAAACTTTATTCGCTCGATCAAGTAGAATCTGCACTGCTGATACATTGAACGACGAATTCAATCTTATTACTGACACACTTAAATCAAACGGATATCCCGAAATGTTTGTTGGTCATCAGAACACAACTACGACGAAACTGATAACAACTGATGTGCCCAAGAAACCAGTGTACTTACATTTACCTTTCAAGGTTGATCATTGCATGAAAATTACAACCAAACAGACTGCAGCTACAATAAAAATGACCTTCAATGCAGCTAATCTGAGGCTTATCACAACAACCCAATCGGTCTCAGTTACCCCAATCAAGTCTCCAAGACCGATTCAGTCCAAATCCCACTGTATTTACCAATTCACATGTAACTGCGGAGGAAGTTACTTAGGTAGGACAGATCGCCGATTGGAATACAGGATAGGGGAACATATTCCAAAATGGTTAATCAAATCCATGATTCATCAACCTAGCCCGTCATCTCAAAATCGATCAAGAAACCCAACCTCGTCCATTGCAAAACATCTAACAATGAGTGGTCATCAAATTGACCCAAAATTAGCCTTTAGAGTTGTGACATGTGATTAAAATCCACACACACACACACTGAAACTACTCGAAGCTATCTTGATTGGTCGGAAAAGTCCAACTTTATGTGTTCAAAAACAACTGTATGTTGACCTTTGTTTACTTAGCATGGTTCTAGTGAGTGAATGTCATGCTAAATAATAAAAATTTTGACCTTATCTTCAAAACTGCCGTATTTACACACGAATAACATGTTGCTTGTATGTATGTGACTGATGGATGAGAAAGCACGAAATGGTACTTACTATCTCACAAAATATGTCTTCTCATTTCTCTATTCAAATTTATCAAAGGGAATCATTGTTTTGAGTAATGATATTGTTCTTTAACTAGGCAAAATGATCTGTTTTATTAAGTGACTAAAAAGGATTGGTAAGATACTCATATCTCAGATTTGATGCTACTTTCCTTTACGTCGATAATTGATAAGAACCTGTTAGAATTATTTTTGTAAGTCTAATTCTATTGGTCAATTGCTATTGATCGTCCTAACTATCAATGTCATATACTTCAAATGTTGTTTACTATTCGACCTAACTGTATAAATATGTATTGTCTGTAACGTTTTATGATCGAGATCCTCAGTCCGGGATCCTCATCTTCTTCTAGTTAGTGGGGGGGGGGACACTGGGACGCTCGGATTTGAGCAGCCTTTTGCGTCACCGGATCATCGATCCTCTCTCTGGTATATCGTCTTGGGTGAACTCTTAATAGTTTCAAGCATATCAATTGACGTGGTAAGGCTGTCAATAAGTAACCGAACCAATCAATATAATGTTAAGTACAATTGAATGATTTCATTTTAACAGTACAGAATTAAATGATTTTACTCAAATTAATCCTTTGATGATGTATTTCCTTTGTTTAAGCTGGTGGTGGTGGGAGGGTGTGTGTGCTTTTCTTTTCATCAAAAATCTCTCTGATTTACTACTGAATAATATGTAACAGGAACAGTACCTACTCAACTGATATTATTTTTTTCTATACTTAATACTGAAAATGAATACACACACAACTTTGTTTAAATTTTTATATATTCAATAATAGTTAAAAGTTAATTTCGAAAAAATTTAAAAACGAACAAACAAACTAGACACAGATATTTTTATTTTAAAAAAAAGTTTTTTAGAATTTTTTATTTTATTTTTCAAAGAATACATTCTTTTCTTTCTATCTTCTCTGATATATTTTGTTTTTTCGCGCGTAAATTTATTTGTTTTTTTGTTTAAATTCTCACAAATTATTCAATTCATCTTCTTAGTTTGTTTTAAACAATTCATTGTAACAAAAAAAATTTTGTCATTGCTCTTCTGATTCAAATTAAATTACGACGCAAATTTTAATTCTCGTCGTTGTTTTCGTTGTTGTTGGTAGTGATGGTGGCTGTGAACACAATTCAAAAAACTTCATCATTGTTCAATAAGTACCATTGTACATTGAACA